CTTAAATATGTGTTATTTAAGTTTTTTGATATATTATTATGAGATATTCAATATATATCATTTCAAAATATTTACGATCTTCACCACTTTGCATTTTTTTAACAGACTTGAATTAGAATAACTACATCCCATCAGAGTGATACTAGCCACTAGTTACTAAGAAATAGAGATGAGTCCTGATAGAAGGTGTAACTGAGGTAGTTGAGCTAAAAAAGATCTGAATTGCAAGAGTAATCGAATGAAATGGAGAAGGATCTTCAAATAAATTGGAATCTCATACCCATTAAAAAAATTAACATAATTTAAAGACATGAGCAAATCTCCAATTATGTGAAATAGTCAAAGTTAGCTATAAAGCAAATTATGTCTCAAAAAATAACGAGTAACTCTACCAAGAAAAACATACATACTAGCATAAAATATATTAATTAGCCATTTTATAGCTTGCTTTGACAATCCCGAACATACACTGCTAAAATTTGAGGCATTCTAGACGGAAAATTCCGTCTAGGATACCCAGAATTCCGTCTAGGATGTGTATTCTAGACGGAATTCCATCTAGAATACGCGTCTAATTTATTTCCGTCTAGTATGTAGTATTCTAGACGAAAATTCCGTCTAGAATACATCCTAGACGGAATATTCTAGACGGAATTAAAAACCGTCTAGAATACATCCTAGACGGATTATTCTAGACGGAATTTCCGTCTAGAATAATTTATCCTAGACGGATAAAAATTCCGTCTAGAATAAGTATTCTAGACGGAATTTGATTTTTAAATTTTTTTATTTTTTTAATTTTTAAAAAGTATTCTAGACGGAATTTAAGCATCCTAGACGGAATTTCCGTCTAGGATAGTATGCTATAGTAGTTTTTTTTTTGCAGAATCTATTTTAAGTGTATGTACACAATATTGAATAACAAAAAATTATATTCATATCCAACACAATCTAATTAATTCCAATATCAAATCCAATTATATTCAAATAATACATTCACCAAAATAGTAGAGAGATACATAAATTATTTACAAACGTTTACATAAATTATTTACAATGGCTATGATACTTCTAGGAAAGAATGTAATTCATCGATACATGGTTATTAATCTATTTGAGTTCCTTTCTGTTCTTCCAGATTTGCTTTCTGTTCTTCCAGATTTGCTTGACACCATCCAACTCCTTCCAGAATGCCTCATAATAGCCAGGAATGCTGCAAAATGAAGAACGGTTATGCATAAGGCAAGGAGTTATCGAAGTAGAGTATCATATTTCTTAGTACAAGCTATTATCTAAATCATATTTTCATATGTGTATTTCTACTAGTGACTTCATTTTAGTAGCATCGCAGAAACCCAACCCAAGCATGTTTTGAATTATCATGATGCACATAAAAGATAATACAAACTGAAGCCATAATTTAGTGAAAGATTATATCATATTTCCAAAAGGATACATATTTTCATGGACAATTTTATAATATCCCCATGTAAAAGAACCAATCAATAAACAGTAGAACACCATCAAAACACATGAATGCACACTAATGCATTGAGATCCAAAATACACAGCAACAAAGCTCACCTGAATTCTCCAATGACCAACACTTCTGTTAACAGATAAACACCTACGAAACATGAGAAACAAAAATTAAAACCACAGATAAAGGATATACAATAGACGGAAAACAAAACCAAAATTCTTTTAGCCATTATTAGCTAAGTTAGCTTGTTTCAGTTCTTGTTAGCAAATACATGAATTAATTATACCACTGGCATGAATGTGCTTCAATCTACCACTAGCATGAGCAAAATGCATTTATAAATAAATTATACGAGAAAAACAATCAAGTCATTAGACATTCTTGTTAGCAAATACAGTTTATTTTTTTTCCAGTTAAAGGATACAAATATTTGTACCTCAAATGGATTTGAGAAAAGGCAGAGGAGCGCTAGGGCCATGTATACTTTGTATCTTGAGAATCCATTTCAAATAAGTTTTCTCTGCATTGCAAACGAACAACTGCTATGAGACAAACAATAATATAAACTATTTTTCTTCATTACTATCCAATGGAAGAAGGGAAGTTGGGGTGTTTATAAATGGATTACACGATTGTTCGCGTGGAAAACTGCTTTCTTATTCATTGAGATAATTGTCATCTTAGATTACAAAGATCCGGTCTTTTATAGATCCGGTTACAACTAAATCAAAGACCAGCTTCAACACCCTCAATAGTAATAAGCAAAACATTCCCAGCAATATCACCAGTACTCTTATTGTTCACAATCTCTTGTCGATTTGAGTATTGTATATACACGGTTTTGCCACGAACTTGTGCAGGCTCAGATGATGAAGCACAGTATGAAACCATTGAGATTGCTTGGTTAAGGTCGGACTGGAACAAATGAAACAAAATCAAATAACTAAAACTAATAAGCTATCATCACATCTAAGTTTTTCCTTTTGAAATGTAGATTTTAGCCTCAATTAACTAATTTCTGTGCTGCGCTTAATATCGATTTGATGTAGCTAAAAGCAAGACATCAGTCACACATTACCACATAAAATTGGTGATTGGGAATTTCATATTAGGACACAAAAAAAATTGAGGGAATCAATTTAGCTATCAAAATTATAACAGCATTGCTAAAAATGCAACCTATGCACAAACACAAAACAGACATAGTTAGACCCAATCATCAAATTTTCTTCTTTCATACCAACCAATACTGAAGAATAATACAAAACCACTTACATTGCTTTGTTAATATGATGTTTGGAAAACTGAAAGTTGATCTGGAATAGTAAAAGAACTTTTTTTTACAAGGGAACAAAATATGGGGGGGATCTTAAGACTGAAAAAATAAGGAATGGGGCAATGTTGTGATATCTATTTACTTAGCATCAAACTACACTTTCAGTGATATAATAATAAACTAAAATTTTAATACTCAGGGTTAAATCAAGAAGAAGCATAAAAACTTCTCCAGGCCCAAGAACCATCAACAATTAATTCAAGCAAGCAGCGGTGTCAATAATAATAACAATTCTTCGATTTTGCAGCGCAACAAAGACACCTAATTTTTAATTAAATTCAGACGAGAAAACAGAATGCAATCTACAAAATGAAAATCAAGTGATCCCTTACAAACTCAATGAAGGCCTGGTTGGGATTTGCCCCAACATTGCACTTGGTGTTGACGATCTTTCCGAATGGCTTGCAGAGCTCGACGAGCTCCTCATCGGTGCACTCCCATGACAGATTCCTCAGGTGAAGCACCTTCGATGGCGTCTGCGTGTAGCGAAACTGCTGCTGCCCTGACGTAGACGACATCGTAGCGAAACTGCTGCTGCCCTGACGTAGACGGCATCGTAGCGTCGATCTAGGGTTAGGGTTATGCAGATTTCTCGTGGGTGGCGATGGCGAAGCGATCCGCGGGGGGAGGCATGCCGGGGAGCGGGGACCAGGAGGGGAGGGAGGGGGGTGACGGTGACGAGGTCGAGGCGGTGCGGCGGAGGACAAGGAGGGGGAGCGGGCGAGGGGAGCGGGTGAGCGTTGAGGCGGGAAGGAGCGGGGCGTCAAAGCGAGAGCCGCCTGAGGAGGTAGGTGGCGGTGGAGGTGGGGAGGGAGGGTTGGGGAGATTATCCACAAGGCTGTGATGGCTCTGATCTTTCTAGGGGAAAGGGGGGCGAAATTTTGGGGTAAAGGGGGGCGGCGAAATTTTGGGGGAAAAGGCCGGCAACGAAATTTTGACGGAGAAGTTTTTTTTAAATGGGCCAAGTATCCTAGACGGAAATTTCCGTCTAGGATACACCCTGGACGGAAATTTCCGTCTAGGATAGCTAAAACAATATATTTTGCTATCCTAGACGGAAATTTCCGTCTAGAATGTTTTATTCTAGACAGAATATTCTAGATGGAAATATTCCGTCTAGAATACTACATTCTAGACGGAAAAATTTCCGTCTAGAATATTCCGTCTAGAATACTTGATTTTCTACTAGTGATAAACATATAGAATATAATAATATTACATTGAAAAAGTTCTCATAGTTAAGATCCATGGTTATTAATATATGATCTTTCCTTAGAAGTCTATTAGCCTCATGGAATATAACATTAAAGTGGAAATTAACTATTAAAATTGTAAAGGTATAAAATACTGTGAATTTGTGCAAATTATAAGATGAAAACATAGTATTAATTGTGCAAATTATAAGATAAAAACATAGGATTGCGATGAGAATGAAATTATTTGGATGAAAATTGTTTTTTTCATAAAAGGATCTTGACATATTCATGTACTATTTATTGTAAATTGTACTTAATGTGAATTGACCGTGTAATTTTGGCTTTAGTTAAAGTAATTTTAATACTTTTGATTAACTATATAGTATATAAACAATAATTTTTTTTACTTTTTCAAATGAAATTAAAAGAAATACTTAACAGCCGAGATAAGTAAGAATATAGAATAAAAAAATATAATGATAACACGTGGATAATATATTTATTAATTGTGCATAAATCAACAACCAGTTTGGAAAGAAACTAATTGCTATGATTTTAACACCAGGGCCGGCCCAAGCTTTTTTGAGGCCCTGTGCGAAATGATAAAATGAGGCCCTCTTCTATATAAATATTGAACTATAAATTTATTGAATTATATTTATTGGTGTGTTTCCTAGTTAATAGGGAATAGTTAATTGGGAATTAATGAGTTCAAATTGAATTTCCTAAACTTTAGGAGACAAATGAGCAACTAATCATAATTGTAGTACTAATTGGTGTATATTTCCGGTAAAATGTAAATCAGATGGGTCATGGGTGTTAGACAGTTAGGCTTAGGCAATGGACATAAATTATTATTTAATTTAGTGGGCTAGTATTAGATTATTAGGCCAATCACATATATTTAAACAAACCAGCAGTAGTGTAGGAAACACTGAAACAGCAACACCGACAACAAGAATTGTGATAAACGTTGCAAGTAAATTGGCTATATATTCATACAATGAGTACATTCTTTGCACATCTACTCCGAATTACAAAGCAATTGTTGATATGGAAAGAGAAACTAAAATAGCAAGCTATTCTTCATTTGCACTCATCAATTTTAAACATTCCCACCGTCTCTTTGCTTTCAAAATAATAATAATAATAATACATTGCAGTTTATTTTATTGATTTCTTGGGACGGTAATCCTTGTCGATCAATGTGTTACTTGAACATGGAAATCCGCACTGGAGGAATCATAGGTCGGCCTGCCCAACCTGATGTCACATTAAAACTATCAGTACACTAAAAAATTAGTGAATCAAAAAATTAAAAAAATTAGATAAACGATAAAAAGCTACTCACAATCTTATACATGACTTAGGATGTGTTAGTCCAATATATAGAATATCAATTGTATTTTTCTTTCCTTTTTTCATCCTTGGACTACTTTTCATCAGATGAAAGGCTTTTCCCCCGTAAATTTAGAAAGCTATCAATGCTTATTATATGATAATATCAATAAATTAATTATCCAACTACTTGCATGTTCTTGTATTCTGTAGTTGTTAGTTAAATTTCCTACCATGTTGTATACAACGAACAAATGTATTTGTGTTCTATTGTTGCTTTCCTATTATCTACCGAGTTTATTATTTTAGAAATGTTTTTCCACCACTGCAACTCACAATTATGAAATCATAATGTTTATACGATAAAAAGAGTGTCGGTAGATGTTTGTTGTTTCTGAGGAAATATATGAGTGGCAGAGGGAGAAGCATGAAGAATGTATCGATAAAGTGTTAACGTCTGGACCTTTGGAAGCGTCAAAACCTCTGCTCTGAAGTTCGGCGTGCTCTTGGCAGAGGGCACAAGGTTCACAACAGAAATGAACGCAGCAATCACAACATGGCTCCTCTGGTAAACTGTACTTTGATCTCAATTTCCCCCGGTAAACACACGAGTAGATCCAATGGAATTGGACGGTTGATAGAAGCCAATAAACACAACAATGACTACAACAGGCTGCAAATATAAACAAGTAACAGTCATCTTATAGTTGAAAAATTCCAATATAAACCCCTCTTTCTCTTAATCCTCATTTTATTAGCAACAATAGCATTAAGTTAACAATATGCAGACCAACTGTAGAATTCGAACATCAATAATAATACTCATATGAACTCTGATGTCAAGCTGGAAGTTTACTTGCATCTAGTGTAATGCTCATATACCATCATCTTGTATCGAGCTTCGAGATGACTGTTATACCGATCGACTGTTCAAAGGGAGAACATATTTCTCTCAGTAAGAACTTATGTTTTTATTTTAGATTTCCTGGAACGTTTGCAGATTAGCATAATTAGATGATTAATACTCAGTTACCTAGTGCTAGGGGATATACTTCCTCCACTTTCTCTATTAATTCTTACTGAATTTTCTTATACATATGACATTGTTGTATGCCATCTTTATACTTACAAGTTTGCCCTTCGTCCAATATTTCTGCATTGCGTCCAAACGTGACACAAGGGAGCCAGCATGTCATACAAACTGCAGTTCATAAAACGAAGGCATAAGACACATTGATTTCACGCATTAATATTGTCTCTATCCATATAAAAGGTTCTCTTGTATTGTTTAATACTTCTAAATCAAATAGATATAGAAGGAATTAATATAGAACTCTCTTAATTTGGATATCGTGGAGGAACTCCTCAGAGCCTCCCTGTGTGACTATTATTTTTGCCTATGCTGTGGTCAGGTTTGTGTTGTCATCTTATCATCATCATATTTCTTGTTGTATTTGTTGTATGAAGATGATCTATACGATCGATCAGTAATATAGAAAAGCAGTTCCGCAACTTACCTGCTTTTCTTCATTTTGGAAGATCAATGTTTTTTCTTTCCTTTGTTTTTTGGGTGCGTGTGTTATGGAATAACTTACACGTGCTCAGGCTACCCCCACAGTCGCAGAGCTCAGAAGACCATTTGCGTGAAGTAGCTGCACCCATACTGATTCCTTCTGATTGCTTATGTGTTGCAATTTAGGTTTGCCTTCAATCCTCTCTTATAACCGTGCACAAAAGAGACGATCACGAGTTACAAGGTTAGAAGAAGCTGGATTCTGACCGAGCCAACAATTTTCCCTTGGAATTTTAAGTTTTTGTTTTATGGTCTTGTCCCTTTAACACATATTGCAGGCTGCCGTCTTCTACAGTGAAAGCCAATGAGGTGAAAATCTTGAGATAAATGACACCCACCAAGATCTTTTTAACGAAAGGAGCGTTCATAACAAGATTTGCGTTCTCCTCTTGTTCTGTTGCCTAATTTTATCTCGGGTTTCGCCAACTACCGAGTAACTTTCCCCTGCTTATTCGTTTTTCTTTTTCTGAAGGTATTATCTCAAGTAAACAAATAAATAAATAAACAAAGATTTGAAACAATAGCGTAAGGATGCTCTGGCTAGCTTGCTATATACTGGCATCGGATTCAATCTCGATACTGTTTTGCAGGTTAAAGATTGGAAAAGGAAGGAGCATAATGTTGTTAGTATTCCACTAGTTGAGGGTAACATGGCGAGGTGATAGTTCGATCCTCCAAATCTTTCGAGAACACCACCATCCAGTGCTTCAAAGACAAATCAATTCATACAGCTCGACTAAATGACAGTACAGAATGAAGTAGCATCAACAGGTATTAGACATTACAGCTCATACGAAGGAAGCATTTTGCCAGTTTAACAAGTTAAAGAAAAGGAGTGTCGACAGACACAGTGAGATTCTAGTTCTTGGCAAAGAGCCCGCCGAAGCCACCTGATTTCTTCTTGCTGGGAACAGAAACTGATGTTGTGGACTTTCTGGAGCCAACCGTCGAGGCCTTCTCTTCTACCTTGTTGAGGATAGGATCAGTTTCGAGGAGCTGATCCTCTTTCTGTAGGGCTCCCAGTATCCAGTCAAGGGGCCCTTTCTCCTCCACCACCACAGTACTGCTGCTGCTGCTGCTGCTCTTTGTTGCCTTTGTTATAAACACTCTGCTTTTAGCTGCTGCCATTCCGAATGCCATGTTCAATGAAGCCATCTCCCTCTCTGCTCTCTCTCTCTCTCTCTCTCTCTCTCTCACTTCCCTTTGGTTTTGTGGCGTTGCGTTTGCGATAAGTTGAAATAGTTTCAGCTATCTCCAAGATATTCTACATATAATATTTTTATGGTTTCCTCTCTCTTATGAAACCTGAACCATTTGATTGGTTGTTTGATGATTCTATCTGGTGGTCAGTATTCTCCAGTCGGTTGGCCTCTGAGTGAGAGGCGTTGGAAGCACGAGCTATCCACAAGCTCCTTATCTGAACGCAAAGGCCACATGAGGGCAGAGCACCCGCTCTACTTGCTCCTTGGATGCTAGTGAGGCTACAAGTTGACACAGGATTTGCAAAGCCAGCCATTTGGATGCCATGATGCTGATCATATATGCCTAATTTCTGTTGTTACGAGTCATGACAACGTGCATGTTCATTGAATTATCTAAGGTTGCGCCTTCCACCTTTCGTCTTTATCCCTTAATTGAAGCAAGAGTGAGCACGTTGAAGGAATCTAAAACCAGAAGCTGAAAAATCTTCTTCTCAACTTGTAACCATCTGTACTCTAATATTGCGTTCTTCAAATCACTAAAAAGTGTGGAGACATCGCTCTGGTTGGCACTCAGGATCATGCATTACCGATAACTAAAAAGCCCATCCCGTGAAGTGTACTACCAAACAATTAACAACGCAGACTTGACCAGTTACAAGATTAAATTTGCTCAGGCATCCTATATGACATGCACATCAGAATACATCCAGTAATGCAATAACCAAGTTTTTTTTAACTTCAGCAAACAAAAACAGGTTTCCAAGTACAATTTCCAGAACGAATTACATAAACAAAGTTGTTGGGAATTACATAAACAAAGTTGAGAAAGATCATCAACATCGTCCAAAGAGAAACAACTGAATAAGCGTCATCAAATAACTTCAGGTTCCTACCTCCATGCAATTCCCAATTTGATGATAGCCAAAGGAAAATACAAGGAGAAATAACAAAGCCGCTGCAAAATCATCAAAATGGAAGCCCAGATACAAAAGCAGTAGAGAAATTACAAGATCTGAGCAGCGGTGTTCAACTTCTCTGCTATGCTAAGTTGTGTCCTGATGAGACTTGATAAGTAAACTAATACATAATTATCCTGCAAACAGAAGCAGCATCAGCAAAAAGCTAGATGAGTGACCAGCAAATGTAGAAACCACATTAAGCCTGAACTTACACCCAGAAAAAGAGTACCTGAATCTTGTCATTGAAAACCTTATCAAAAGCAACTGGTGACATTTTCGGGATTGCTGCCAAAGTAGCAGCAATGAATCTCCCAATATCATTATCTGGTGTTACCCGCCCTTCCTTAAAAAAAAAATGGAATATACTATAATGCAGAGGGCCAAGAGGAAGAGAGGAACATTACAAAAAAGAATCGGAAGAAAAACTCACAACAACTCCATCCACATATCTGTAAACATCCTCAATCAGAGCATGCAGATGCTCTAATGTAGCTTCCATGCTTTCCAGATCGTTGGGAAGCTTGTCCACTGTTGTCTTCTTTAAAATGTCAACTGTTGAAAACAGCAAGCAAAAAAACTGTCAGCAACTAAAACCAGCTATCTTCTCAGGCACGCCATTTCTAGCAGATAGAAGTAAATAATCAATGGATCACAGCTCCATGAAGTTTCGTTACACCTCTAATTGTACATTTTAGTCTTATATTCACTTTATCATCAGGCCCATAATTGACATCGTCAATGTATGTCCTTGAGTCCTTAATACAACTTACAACATCCTAATCTGACCTTTTACTTTCTATTTCTTCTTTGCGAAACTAGGATCGGATGCTGCAAACCGCAATGCAGATGCCAAATTAATGGCTATATCCACCATGGTGATTTAAATTTAGGGGATAGTTATAGTAAATATTCCCTAAGATCTGTTTTACAAAAAGTTTCTACAATTAATTTAAAGTAAAACAAAAATCAGATGCCAAAAATCACCAAATCTAAAGCTAAAAATAATAACAATAACATAAAGTGATATTCAAATAAGGTTCATACATCCAACTTGCTCTGCCTCAAGCATCCTCAGGTCCAGAGGAATTTCATGAAATTGTGCTGCAAGCTGACGATCTCCAAGGGACAAATTGACGGACACATATGCTTTGATGGAGGCCTCTCCATTTGTAAACCCAGTATCCACAGTCAGATGAACAGGGTTTGCTACTTCCCTGGAATAGAATTCATGTATTAATTGACTCCCACCTGAGACACCAAGGCCAGTTGAATACCTGCACAGAAACAGTGCAATGAAACACACCCCATACCTTAATGTTACGCAATTTCAACAAACCATTTAATAAATATCGCTGTCATGAATGAAAAATTCATACTGTGACTAAACTCAATCAAGCCCGCATTTCAGTTTTCACTAGATGGTCAATATAACGATTCATCCATCAGCGCAGCACAAAAGAAATAGCACGGAAAAGGAAAACTATAAGTGACAATCTGCCACATTGATCGAACTAAATACCGCAAAAGCGGGCTTGATGGCAGGCTCATATTTTAGGTCCAATAATATTCTATTACCATCCACAGGAAAACACAAAATTTAAAACTTTGTGACCAAAACATACATTCTAACGGAGATTTAAGTTCTATCATGTGCCCTGCTTAGTTAGTGAGGACAAGATGATTCGATCTGTCATTACAAAGTCGGCACAGTTTTGTTGTTTGACCATAATGTATACCTAGAATACTCAGCCAAGCACCCACAACCAAGCACCCACAACCAAGAAGGAAAAGTTAATCTAATAATAGTTGCAACATCCCGGCAACAGTGATTTTATCAGTTTATGTTGGCGAAATGGAGTACGAGGCCCTTCATTACTACCAATCATTTATTTTGCTTGAAGGACAACCATCTTACTGTCAGCTTGCCTCGTTTAATCAGACCAGGCTACATGCTCGCAATACTCACGTTGAGTTGGTCGGCACATGTCACCTGGCTAACAAGATGAATTAGAATATAAAGTGCTCACACCCAACTATAGCGAAGAATTAGAGTATAAAGTGGTCACCTTTTTAATCCATAAGAGAATGGCACTAACAATAATAAGGAAATATAGCTGGCAAATTACATTTACGGGGATAATCCATAACACAGTCTTCTGTGTTATAGATGAAAACAATGGTTTTTTTAATAATAAATAATAAATAAATAAAAAGAATAATAAGAACGGTTACTTACCATCCCACAATGACTTCCTTGGGGTTCACCTTTTGGTGGGATGTAAACATGTTATGGTGGTATTCAATATCCAGTGCGACCTGCAGTGAAGTACGTCAATCAATATGATGATGGGAAATTCCTCCTGTTATTTATTAAATTCAGTTGCTAAAATCAACTCCGGCTGTTTATTCTGAATACAACCAAAAGGTAGCAACTCCGTGGACGCGATTTAAAAGTTTGTCCAGCATAATAGGATAAAACCCATCAAAAGAAGATAATATTAATAAATAAATGGAAAAAAATAGAGGGGGTGAAATCTGGTGGTGGTTACGGATGAGAACCTGGTCGGAGGATTCGCTGTGGGGGACGGCGTAAGAGTTGGTGATGTCGACGGTGCCGTCGGAGGAAAGGGAGCCGAGGAGGGTGCCGATGACACGGTCGGCCTGATCGGGACGCCTGACGTAGCTGTCGCAGATGTTGAAGAGGACGAGGGGTTGGATCTTGGCGCTCAAGCTCGTCGACGACGGATGGAACTGAATCACCGTCTGCTGCTGCTTCTTGTTATTAGACGCCATCTTCGAGGCGAGCGAGCGAGGGTGGAGGAGGGCGGTCGGATTTTTGATGAGAGGGTGGGAGAGGAGGAGGAGGAAGAAGAAAGAAAGCTTTTTTACTTAACGGCTGTCCTTAGTTTTCCTTTGTTTTATTTTTTAGGGTTTGGAACCAGGAGGAGATGCCGCCCCTCGTCCTCCAGAAACTACACGCTTCTGGACTAACTGGGCCAGCCCGCAGACATTACAGCCCAACGCTACAGCCAATAGCAGGCCCATTGCTACAGGCTCATGAAAGCCCAATTAGAGGATGGATACGCAGAGCAATAAAAGTGATACGATTAACCCACTAATAGTGATATTTCGCCCAAAATCATAGCCTGGCGCTTCAATTTCGCACCCGACTAAAGAGCTCTCGCTCCTCATTCTCTCTCCCCCTCGCGCTCTCTCTTTCTCTCTCTGTGCGCGTGCGAAATGGCGTCCTCTGCTGCCCTGAGATACGCAGCTCCTCTCCTTGGCGGTTCTCGATATCTCTTCCCCTCACTCGATTCGACTGTTCGAGCTCCCCATTCTCTCAAGGTCTCATAATCAATCGATCTCGCTCATCTTCAATTCTTTTTTTATTTCATCAGTCTGCTCTTGTTCCCCATTTTCTTAAATTTCAAGTTGATTTTTTTTTAGAAAAATGCCGAGTCCAAACTATTGAAACTGTTGATGACTCTATTATTATTATTATTATACTAGATTTTTTAATGTGTTTTCATAAAATCTTAGATTATTCCTTAGTAAGCTCATCATCAGCTTGGCTCTAAAACTACACTTCTTTTCTCCTTTCTTATATACTATTTTTGTCCCTCGGTCAGGATAGAGTTTTGATAGACTCGGTTCGATCGAGTTTCTGTGTGAGGGCTAGGGTTCCGATTCGAGCAATGACAGAGACGGAAACGCACGTGTCAAAATCTCATCTTTCGGTATCTGGTAATAGATTTCTTTTGCCCCTTTCTACTTTTTGGATAAAAATGTGGTCTTTATTTTTCTATTGAAGGAAAGTTATAATTTCCTACTATATGTAATTTTAACTGTACATTCAGTATTTGGTTGGTTATTTTATATGTTTTCAGACTATGATTTAGCTATCTTTTCTGTTGATGATGTGGACATAGTTGCATTCTTCAACTTGCTCTGCGTACGCACCTTCTATTGTCAAGAGCTCTTCTTTCTCTGGGCACTTGATTTCCTAGTGCTCCAAATAGGGGTTACAAGTGTACTTTTGTATTGTCTTTTTTCGGATTTTTTTTATTGATAAAAAATCAATTGCAATTTTCTTTAGTTTCTTTTTCTTTTTCCTTTCTTTTTAGGGGAGGGGATTGGTATGAAATGAGGCGTTTGATTATGTGATAACTGGAATTGTTAAGAATTTAGGAGGAGGAAATTTTTGCATTGATGACTTCCGTATACTTGTGTGTTATAATGCAATCTCTCATGCACAAAGTTTATAGGTTGTAACTTACGTCATTATTGTGAAAGTGTTAATGTGTGTACTCCGTCAGAAGATAAACATGATTATGGGTATGCGATTTAATTTCTATGGGGAGGTTTGACTAATGAACCTTAATTTGCCTTTTTGTGCAGAATACTTGTGCTCGCAATAGTGACTTTTCTCTTGTTTTATTAATTGTTACAACCTTGGCAGTTTGTTTGTAGTAGTTGCCTGCTAATATCAAACCCCCTCAACGGTGTTGTACAACAACAACAACAATAACAAAGTCTTTATCCCAAATGTTTGGGGTCAGCTACATGAATGCTATTCTTTCAGTCCATTCTGTTATGAGTCATCTCCTCTGTTAAGTTAGTTATAATCATATCTTTCCTAACTGCTTCCAATTAAGTCCTTTTGGGTCTACCTCTGGATCTCCTAGCTCCATTAACTATAATAATATCACTTTTTCTAACCGGTGCACTAAGAGGTCTACGTTGTACATGACCAAACAATCTTAATCTGTTCTCTCTCATTTTGTCATTAGTGGGAGCAACCTCTAATTTATTACGGATGCACTCATTTCTTATCCTATCTTTTAACGTATACTCACAATGCCATCACAACATTCTCATATCTTTCCTAACTGCTTCCAATTAAGTCCTTTTGGGTCTACCTCTGGATCTCCTAGCTCCATTAACTATAATAATATCACTTTTTCTAACCGGTGCACTAAGAGGTCTACGTTGTACATGACCAAACAATCTTAATCTGTTCTCTCTCATTTTGTCATTAGTGGGAGCAACCTCTAATTTATTACGGATGCACTCATTTCTTATCCTATCTTTTAACGTATACTCACAATACCATCACAACATTCTCATTTCTGTTACACTCATTTTTTGCACATGTTATTTTTTAATTCCCAACACTCGGATTATCATAGTTGCAAGGGCTTTACAGCACCTTAACTACTTAACTAGCAAACCAAATGCAGCTTTTGGTTCCAGAAGGGGGGCTGTTCACTACAAACTATCAACGTTATCTTAGATTGAACGACAACAAAAGATCCTCGGTTGACGTTAATCTCTAATGCGGGTTTTAGCTGATAAAGGAATTGTGCTCGTGTCAAAAGGGGTAAAAAAGGCGCCACGTTTCTAGAGTTTGCTTCTTTTCTCAGGCATGAGAAGGACAACTACTGATTGGTCGCCTTTGTTTGTTTTTTCTATAAAACATAGTTGGTCTTAGTTATAATTGTCCTATTGAATTTTCCCTTTAGTTTCATTGGTGTTTTATAATCACATAAGACTCCGAGACACTCCTCCATTTCAACCATCCCGATTTGATTTGATGTACAACATCATCCTCTATCTCACCATCATGCCTAATGATTTATCCTAAATAGCAAAAATGATTATGTGGAACAGTGAAAATTTGTAGAACTTATAGCTTAGAACGTTCTGTAGCTCTAGTGTCATTTGGTTGTTCTTTAATCCAACAAAACTAACATGTTGCAGATATTGTATCTCAATGTATTATAAACAATGTTTCAATTGATAATCTGATTTGGTTTGAAAACATAATTCGCTGTTGGTGCCTTTTAGCCCTTAGTGAGAATCCTTTTTTTTGGTATATTGTTCATTTAGCTGTGTCAACATGTTATTACTTATAACTGCTTTTGTAAATTGAGCTTGTTTAGAAACATTAATTTGATGTAAATTTGTTTCGCTGGTATAGTTATATTTGGATGCAAATTATATGATTCCAATAGCTGGGATCAATCATTCTTACTTCAATGAGCTCGAGTTCAAGCTGAAGTTTGTCATGCCTATGCTCACACAAACAGTTCATTTTCTGTTTTCTTTGACATGTTGGTGTAACTAGCACATTTTCTCTCTCTAAATTTAAGTTATAGAGACGAGATCATAAATACCCCAGAAAGCCTCATTTATTCTATGTTTATATTTTTGTATCATAGGTGGCAAACAAGTCCTTATATCGTTGTCAGACAAGCAGGATCTGGCTTTTCTCGGAAATGGACTTCAAGAATTAGGGTACATTGTGCTTTTGCTAATCTTTTATGTCTGTAGTTTACTTTTTTTTCCCGGAAAATTCTACAAGGCATTGCTTTACCATTGTAGTTACTTTTTATTTATGATTATCAACATTTGCTTTTTGGGAGGGTTTAATTTTTAACTCGGCTCATTGTATTCCTACATATTTTTCTTCCACTTTAGTTCCTCTCATGTCCCTTTGTCTTTGAGATTTTGTAACTTGTCTGTTGTAGAAATTCCTTATTGTTGTTCTAGTTCTGTGCACGTGTAGATATATTTTATTTGAATTTGCTATTTTAATGCAGGTACAATATTGTTTCGACTGGGGGGACTGCATCCGCACTAGAAGCTGCTGGTGTGTCAGTAACCAAAGTTGAAGAAATTACTCATTTTCCTGAAATGGTATCTATTTTCTAACGTAATTCGGCTTAGTTCTAAATGTTCTTATTGGAATAACTTTGTCATGGCATAACATTATTAATACTCTTCATATGGCTATGTTTGTGTTCTGACTGTAAATTTCAAATACATTTGTCTAGTATCAGTATGTCTTGTGCTAGCAAGTTTCACTTCGTTGTGGCAATTTTATGTGCAGCTTCAGTCCTACGTAAAATTTCTTATTCTTTTTATTATTATTAGTGGGATCTCAGGATGAACAATATTACGATCTCTGTATTCATTTTATGAAATTTAAGTCATCTATATTACTGGAAATCTAAAAGTGAGCTTTAGGACCTGTCCGCATTTTATCAACAAAAAACATTCATGCTAATTGCTAACAAATATCTAGTCAGGTGAGTTTTTTTTTATGTCATGGAATCTTAGTGGCTTGTGCTTGGAACTTGGTTGATGCATTTTACATTGTACATGTGCACACATACTTTCTTGTATGTGGTTTGTAATTGCCTACTGTAAATGTATTATTCCTTTTCCAGTTGCTTGAAGTGATGTCTTAAGAATAAGAATTTGATATATGAATTGCTTTTATATTCTTCAGCTTGATGGTAGAGTAAAAACATTGCATCCTAGCATACACGGTGGAATTCTTGCTAGAAGAGATCAAGGCCATCACATGGAGGCCTTAAGTACACATGGCATTGGTGACAGTTTAGACTTACTATTCAATGAATTACAATTTACCCTATTACATCTCCATATCTAGATGCCTTACAGATCGTAACCAGGGATCATTGTAATTAACTGTTGATTGTATGTTATTTGCACAGGGACATTTGATATAGTGGTGGTGAATCTGTATCCTTTCTATCAAAAAGTTTCTTCTAGCGATGGAATTACATTTGAGGATGGCATAGAGAATATTGATATTGGTGGGCCTACATTAATCCGTGCGGCTGCTAAGGTAAAAGTTAAATTAAAAATCTACAGGCCTGATATGCAATTAAACATCCATATAATGTTGCAACAAGAATTATGACAGAATCACAAAGATGTACTGGTTGTGGTGGACCACAATGACTATGCTCCCCTCTTGGAATTTCTGAAAGGAAATCAAGATGACCAGAAGTTCCGAAGGGAATTGGCATGGAAAGCTTTTCAGCATGTTGCTTCCTATGATTCTGCAGTTTCTGAGTGGTTATGGAAGCAATCAGCGGGAGGTGACACTTGTACATTGCCCTTTTATAATTATATAATCTGTAGAAATTTGACACATGCAAAATGCACGTGATACAAAACATGTTGTTTTTGCATATTTCTATTTTAAAATATTAAAAATAATTTCATCTTTTGTGGTGAGTGTGTATTTAACTAGTGAATATGGAGACAGTTAGTGAGGATCAGCTGATTGTCTGAGAGAAAATTACCTTTTCACATTAATTATTTGATTCTGATGCTTTCTGCTAATTACTTCTTGTCACTATTTTCTTTATATATTAATATTAATAGGAATATGTATAGAAACTTGATTTTTTAATTAGTATGTATCTTTTTTCACTTTCTTATTGTGACTTTTATAAACTAAAATATAATGGATATGTGGGCTCGAATCATATATTCATTCCATTGAATGACATAGAATTTTCAAATTTTCAAATTTTCTTTAAGAAAGAATGAGAAAGGAAAAGAAAGAGAAAAATATATCCTTGCATAATTACAATTTTCCCCTCTCAATTACAATGGGCAGGATGTCTCCATTTCTTCATTGTTTTATTGCCCCCACTTGGTTTTTCATAATAGTATTGAAATAGATGTAATTTAACTTCCTATGTGATGTTCCTTGTTCAGGTGATAAGTTCCCTCCTAGCTTTACAGTGCCTCTCTTCAGAAAATCTACCCTTCGGTATGGTGAAAATCCTCATCAGAAGGCTGCATTTTATGACGATAAGAGTCTTTCTGTGGTGAATGCTGGTGGTATTGCTACTGCTATACAACACCATGGGAAGGTGATAATCTAATGGAAATCAATTATACCAATTTCAGTTAGTACTGAAATCAACTTACTCATCATCTTCATCACACTTTGTTGATGTTCTGTCTATCTAATAATATACTCCTAGTTCTGCCGAGCAATTAAAAATAGTATTAGTTAAGGACTTGTTCAACTTCAAAAGTTATTACAAGATTGACACTATCATTATTCTATGCTAATGGTCGTTGAGAAGGTATGTCATGACAAAAAAAATTCTTCTGAATCATACTCAAAATCTTGCTCATAAATCTTGAGAGCTTTACTCTTCTGTTGAGACATCTAATTAATTTTGATGTATAAGAATAATTCATCATCACCTCATTAGTTAGTTAATTTTTATTTGTAATTCAATTGTCATTTACTACGCTGATTTGGACAGGAAATGTCTTACAATAACTACTTAGATGCGGATGCTGCTTGGAACTGTGTGTCAGAGTTCAAGAACCCTACCTGTGTAATTGTGAAGCACACAAATCCATGTGGTGTAGCATCAAGGCAAGATATCATTGAAGCATATAGATTGGCTGTAAAGGGTGATCCTGTAAGTGCTTTTGGTGGCATTGTTGCTTTTAACACAGCGGTAGGTGAGGTAAGTTATGAACATTGTTATTTATTTTCTTTTGAGAACTCTAATTGCTTGATAATTTGCTCATTCTCATAGTTTATGATAATTATCTAGGATCTTGCAAAAGAGATCCGAGAATTTAGGAGTCCAACGGATGGTGAGACGAGAATGTTCTATGAAATAGTTGTGGCACCAAAATATACAGAAAAAGGATTAGAGATTCTCCGTGGAAAATCGAAGACTCTGAGGATTCTCGAGGCAAAAAAGAGTGAGAAGGGAATGCTCTCTCTAAGGCAAGTTGGAGGCGGGTGGTTAGCTCAGGACTCCGATGATTTAACCCCAGAAGATATCAAGTTCAACGTGATGTCAGAAAATGCTCCTGAAGAACAAAAGCTTCGCGATGCAGAATTTGCATGGCTTTGTGTCAAACATGTTAAAAGCAATGCTGTAGTAATAGCCAAGGTATAGTTTATTTTCTGCACTTATTCAAGATGACTCACGAAGAACATATGAGTTCACAAGATTTTTAATTTCTGGCAGTTTTAAGTTTAAATATTGTTGGATCCGATAGAAGAAATATAGATAAAAAGATGGGACCTGGAATTTAGTATTTGCAGATCAAATCTTCTGAAATCCTTTAAGTAGTTTAAACTTTTGGGTTAACTATCTGTAACATGAATTTCTGCATGATGGACATATGTATTCTCTCGAATTGGTTCCTGTCGATAATAACAAGAAAGGTTAAGAAAATAATAAGCTCCTTTTTCCAGTTTCATTTCACTTGCTAGCTAATTGAATTAATAGATAAATCATTTGGAGAAGTTTAACAGGAACTTCCTGTTTCAGGTTCTTTGTGGTTTTGATTACAAATTTAGCATGAATAAGAATTCTCTCATTATTCTTCAGTTTCTTGAAATATATGAAGCTTGCCCCCACTAGATTCATAATTTATTCTCTTTTCCAATTTTCTCCACCCCACAAGTCTTTTTAACGATTCGCAAAAGCAATGGCCATTATGGAGAACTCTACTAGGTAATTGCAAGATTTATTTTGGTAGAGCTTGTTCGTATCCATTTCATTATTGCAATCACGTATTATTTCTTCTAACATCACAAATAATGGGTCTCGCCATAATTCTCGTCAAAATAGTGTTTAAGACCTGTAACAAGTATGCATTGTTCCTTGTTGCTTCACTCTCTGTTCGTTTTGTTGACATTATTCTAATGCACATTTAACAACATCGCTGTCAGCACTACGTCCTAACTGCTGGCACATTCAGTTTTACTTCAATCAATTTGGATCGCATGCTTGCTGATATTCTCACCAATTTATCAAGCTCGTTATTTCATTTTCTTGCAGAATAACTGTATGTTAGGTATGGGGAGTGGACAGCCAAATAGGCTTGAGAGCCTAAGAATAGCTTTCAGGAAAGCTGGAGAAGAAGCAAAGGGAGCTGCTTTGGCTAGTGATGCATTTTTCCCATTTGGTAAGTGGTATTTTATTTTTCATCGCAGTATTAGTATATGTTACCCCAGACCGCATTAGGTTGATAAGAAGCTGGGGGAAGAAATCAGAACAAAAGGATAGGTCTTTGAAAAACTCAAAATTTGATCAAAGGCCTTCACATTAAATCTAGCAAAGAGCCACTAAGACCTATCAGGGGTTGAATAAGATCTGATGAATCGCGTGCAAGATGCAGAGAAGCTTGAGCATTCACATTGAAGTTTCTTTCATTTGCAGTAGGTTGGAGAAGGGAATCCAAAGGAAAAAATTGAAATAAAACTATTACTATGAAATTAAGAAAAAAACATATTTTAAGAATTCTTGTTTACGTTTCTTTGAAAAGTTTCTATTCTTATTTCCCTCCACCATCAAGTCAAACAATTCAAAACATCTTTTGATCTCAATTTTGGACTTCCCCTCTCATTCGAACACAACTTTATCATTTTCCAAATATATGCACTTCATCAAATACACTTTGTTCTGTTAAATATTTCTCCGGCTAACCTTACAAATGAACAATCTAGATGTGTACGGCTCGTAGCAAGTTTAATCAGTTTATATTTGTATCTACTTGCTCCTTTGCGCAATACTATTTGAGTAATTTGTATATTTATGTCTTATTTGTTTCCTTATAAATAATTTCAGATTATCCCTCCCTGGAATCAAGCTACTTTGCCAACATAACAGTATCAAATAAATCTTACTCTTTTAATGGTTTGCTCAGATTTAATATAATCTAATCATAGCAAAATCAATAGTATATATAATAAGGCTGTTGTACGTGCATGTTTAACTTTATACTTTCCCCCCTGCTTTTGAAATTAAAAATCTGGCCTACCAAAAGAAATATATCATTCTGTGCGTGCATGCTTATAAGTCTGTTACGTGGGCTCATGTGTTATTTTTCCCACAATTTTGTTTTATAATTTTAAAGCTTGGAACGATGCGGTTGAAGAAGCATGTCAGAATGGTATCGGAATAATTGCAGAGCCTGGCGGTAGTATCAGAGATAAGGACGCTGTAGATTGCTGCAATAAATATGGTGTTTCTCTAGTCTTCACAAATGTGAGGCATTTCCGGCATTGAGAGAGACTGCTAAGAATTTATCTAGTTTTTGAGAATATTATGTAGTTTCTTCTAGCTGATCCAGAATTTTGGTGATCACAACAGTAATGTCTCCATTTTCTTTCTCCTGTATTGTGTGTCCGAATTTTTGTAAGTCGGATGGGATGTTGTATGATATCCTTGTAACTTTATATACATGTATGTAATGTGAGTATTGAATAAATGACTTATTTTGGTCAGGTATATTGCTAGTAAAACTTTCTAAAGTTTCCTATGTAGGGCCCCTGGCTAGTTTTTTTGGGCCCTGAGTGGACAATTGTGTAATTAAGAACGCTTCTTTAATATCACCGTAGAAAGGAGCTTTATTGATATCTGGTATGCCTCGAACGTTTGGGGGTAATGTTCAGTTTTACTGACCATTTGCTGTAGTTTTTATTAGAGTTTATTTATAGATTTATGATGATGTCGTAGCTTGTTTGTGGGATAGTCAGATTTGGCACTGCATTTAATTGTGATATTATAACCGTGGATCAGAACGGATCCGGTTAGATTCATGTCATGCGACCATTTGCAGTGTCATGCTACTTTAGTAGTTGCATCCATGCATAGCATCAGTATTCAGATGGTCGGAACTGCCACCATATGTTTTCAACATCACACCTATAGAAAGTTTTGAAAGCTATTCCTACTTTCTCATTGAAATTTATATACGTGTATACATGTGTGCCTACAAACACATACAGGTAGATGCACATACATACATTTATAATTTAACATGACACTCAAACAAAGGGTAATCAAACAGAACCTATAAAAATCACAAGCCGGTGACAGTAGAGAATCACTAATTTATGAAGAGGCTTGATTTATGCATGCAAAAGTAGGGGTATACAGACTGAAGCTCTTTTGAGGAGAGAGGAGAAAACCAAGCCAAGGAAACAAATCACAACCTCATTACAAGTGATCAATGGATTATTTTCTTTTAACAGCCAGGCAAGCTTACAATTAATGAGACTCTTTAAAAGAGCCACTTTGCTCCCGTGCCTTCCACACTTGAGAGATCGATGGCTTTTGCTTCACTCTGAAACAAGTCCAGAAGAGGATTTGGAAAGCTGACTCGTCCTAGTTTACTTCAATACCGCTGATGATGAAACATTAGATGTATGTCATAACAAATGGAATATAAGCTGCGACTATGAAGAAGTTTGAAGAAGAAAAGAAAAGAGAAGAGGGCGGAAAAGGACTATAAGCTGTGAAGTTTGATGGTATAAGGATCATATACGGAGGAAACCATAACGTCAAATGTGCACGTCGACAACACATGCACGGCAGATGAGGTTGAGAGGCCACAACATTCACTATCTACACAGTTAAAGACCTCTTTTGCAGCATTGATCATGACATTTTTGCCCTTGCAAAGAATATCCCTGCAAATAGACCTGGCGAATGCTCCAGAGAGATGAAGATGTAGTCAGTCACAGGTAAAGGTAGAGAAAGAACCAGTAGAGGACGATCATATGTGGAGGGAATAACTCACCAAACAAAATACTGAACAGATTTGGTACACTGACCGGAACCTTGAACAGCAAGATGCCGGCAAGGGAGATAGGGATCTTGTTCAATGATCCCACCAGGCTGCGCCACGTTAAATCAGGCTCAATATTAGTTATACATTCAAACTAAATGATTGAAGCTAAATTTTAACTTTTTCCGGTGAGTGACTAACCTGTATGTGGTGGGGCCAGTTTGTCTTAAAAACCACATAGAGGTGAAACTGATGGAAAGTCCAATTATTCCACTTGCAGTTGAGAGCACCCAAAACATAGGTATTCTGATGACATCCCTGCCATCATCATAAAGGAAAAACAACAACAATAATAATAGTAATAATAATAATAATAATAATACATTCAATGAGCTGGAACTTAAGAACTCCATTTGTGTTTTTAGCATTAACTTTGTGGACTGTAATTTTTTTTGTTGTAACCCCGTCTAGGTTGGTGCTAAGAATATTGTACAAGCTCCACAGTGTTTTTCTTTGATTCACTAATATCATACATTCATGCACGGTGCTCTGCCCACCTTTGTCCCTAAACAATACAGAGCAAACGAAAATAGAAAGTTGTACATTTCTAAAAACCTCAATATTTACTCAATATTGAGCACTTACGCTTTTTGGACATACTCCCACTCATTGAAGAACAGGATCAAGAAAATTCCAAAAGGTAATGACAGCGAATTGTTCAGTAGCACCATGGACACTTCGTTAAGGGAACCAGATCGAGTTGATTGTTTTGCGGTATCCATTACACGTCGCAACGTTAGCTTTCATAAAGGTAAAAGAACAGATGTCAGAAGCTAAAAAGCAGAAAACACTAAATACTATTGGAAAAACATGAGCAGAATAGGCTTCTGGTATGCAAAATATGCCATAGATAGCTTCGTCAATATCTGCATATTCTTAGAGGTAAAGAAAGATTATGCTACTTTTAAGATCGTTATTGATATAATTTTCATGAAAGGCATATCATCTAGCCGCAAAAGTTTATTTCATTGCTTCTCTTATTGTAGGAACTCAAACCTCCGTCAAGACAGGCTTCTTAGATATTTGCAAGAAGGTTTTAAAACATAAATGCAACTTGCTTTGGTACAACAGTTACATTTTCCAAAAGCAAATAATCATCAGGCCAAAAATATTTCCAGGTATCAAATGACTTACTGAATAGCTTGCAGTGAGAATGCAGTTCATAATCTGCCATGTATAGCCAACTGCATCAAAAGAGAGATCAGTGACTCCCCCACTTACAGCCGATATGATCTGAAAGTACACACCATGTCAGTAAGAATACAAGGCCGGATTTCATATGATTTAATAGACATACAATTACAATCTGCCTGATCCACACCAGATTATTGTTTTTGTCAATCAGGAAAACTAAAGAGCGAGGCATGAATGGGCAAACAGAAAAAGTTCACAACTAAAACATGTTTTCCTTCTTTAACATTTTTAATATTAATAATGCCAAAGGAAAACAGATTGGTCGGGCCGGAGCAAAAGTTCTGATGCACAAATAGTTGCAAAATTTCCTCTGGATTATCTATGCAGTCTGGAAAATCCTTACAGCTTAACTAAATAGTACCTGCTAATACTACTAATTTCTTAATGAGTGTTAAAGCACATTAAAACACGACCTCACGTTTTGACCTCACCCATATAATAGAAGATCTATTCCTTAATGATGCATAGTTCATTTATAAGAAAGAAGTAAAGTTCAAAAAATGAAGAGGAACAAAGATACAAATGCAAACCATTAGAAAAAGGGCAGTCCAAACTTTGCCATTTTGATGCTTCCTGAAAAGATACATCTCTCCGATAGCTGTTAGGATGTTCGTCAAGTTCTTCAAGATTGTAACCATAGCAACATTTATGTACTTCAAACTGAGAGAAAAAGAGGTAAAGAGAGAAAGAGGAACATGATTATAACGAAATTAAAGTTTCCTCTAAATTAGCATTAAATCTTTCCTTTAGGCCCTTCAGGTGAATTCATAGCCTAATTATACCTGTACATGCCTGTCACCAGCATGCCGACAAATATAGCATTGACAGGAATCCAGACTCGAATCAGCTTCCACGTGAGCTTTTCTGTCGACACAACTCCAAGCAATCCCAAAGCTACCACAATAATGACAGATATAAGATTCTGCATTGATAAGTTGTTCAGTGTCATCTTCATAACGAACAAGAAGAAACTAAATTAAGCATACAGACAAGAAGGTCACATTAATGGTTATGTTGTTTAAGCTTATGCAACAAAGGAGAAGCAACAACACTCCATAATTATGAAAGAGAAGAAAGCGGCAAACTGAAGCCACCATGATAATTAAACATTTAAGGTTGATTAAAAGATGTACTATAACTGATTTAGAACAAGATACGGAGACTGCAGAACATACAAGAAGCATAAATTAATACGCATTAGTCAATATTAGTGAGTTGATCGCGCTCTGACGATGAATGTCTAAATTTATGTTGATATAAGAAGGGTGTCATTTTTCAGCACCAGTATGGTTTGGCACCTAGCTAGAGAAATACGCTACGGAGAAAGATGGTAGTGCTACGTACTAGCTCTATAAACTTCTTCATGATTCTTTTTTTTTTGCAAATAACATATTATGTATCGGTAATTAATTTTCTTTTCCAAAGAAAACATATATAGCCACATTAAGTACCCCTTTTCTGTGCTTGAAAGATACTTCCGTCCGGTCGAAGAAGATGATCCGAAAGCGTAGCTAGCGGACAGATTATAAACAAAGGACATAATATTTAAACCGTGCGCGTATACTAAATCTGGTGAGCTAGGTTGTTTGAAATGCCTTACCTGGTATAACATCAACGATACGCCGGCATCAAAATTATAGGTGGAAAGAACAACCTTATTCAGCAGTATCATGCTGCAAGAAGAAAAGCAATAACATACTCCAGATAAAAGGGGCCCGGACGCTCTTTTAGAATATCCGTTCTTCTGTTTCCCATTTCCGCTAGCTAATCTGCACCGGACGATCGAGCCAAACAAGAAACTTAATTATATTAATGGAAGGAGGATTCAACGACATAAAGATGCTGTACCCTTACCCATAAGCTTTAATTTGCGTCTTTCGCTCCGTACGTATCAAATAATTACATAATTAGAAGATATAGTACATAGAACTTAAAGCGGATATGGTGTACGTCAGGGTTATGCATGTCAAGTACTGTAGATTACGTACAGCTGACGGTAGGGCTAACCGTATGCATAGCGTATTAGAGACAAATGTGCATGCTGAAGGGTTGTGAATATCCTTTTATTTTATTTTATTTTTTCTTCTCTTTTTTTACACATATATGTAACTTCAGGCGCCTAGTATCTGGACGTACGGGAGGATCAAAAAACAATGGTAACGTACAGTTGATGGGATGCTCTAGCTAGAGAAAATAAGCGGACCTGTCGCCCGCGGCTTGAACGCTGCACGTCTTCCTTCCATGGGTCAACAAACCGTTTAGGATCTCGTCAGCCGCCGCATCACCATTGCTTTTATCTTCGTTCCTCGAGATAGGTTCCTCAGCATCTGATGAGGGCACTTTGGAATCCGAAGACATTTACAAACACCTGAAAGAATAATAAAAGAACAATTAAAGCTATAGCTAGCCTATTAATTATTAATCGTAGAAAATTAAAGACATATATACTGGAACTAAGCTTAATTAGCCTAACAGTTGATCACTTGCATTCAGAGCGATCAGAGAAGAAGCTAGTGAAGTCATTAACTAACTGAGATTCTGATATAATTTTGGATTTAGATCGAGGTGATGATCGATGGAGGGAAGGAATTAATGAAGGAAGAGAGAAAGCTAGCTAGCATCGACGGACCTGTTTGGAAGAGAGCAGAGCAGCCTTTAATTTGAGAGAGAGAGAGAGAGAGAGAGAGAGAGAGAGAGAGAGAGAGAGAGAGAGAGAGAGAGAGAGAGAGAGAGAGAGAGAGAGAGAGAGAGAGAGAGAGGGAGGGAGTAGAAATAACAGCGGAGAGAGGGGGTTAATGGTGTGTCAGTGTGTGTATGGCTTGTAACGGAAAAAGGGAGCAAAGCAAAAGCCAAAGCGAAAGCGGAGGGAAATAGAGTGAGAAGAAGAAGAAGAAGGTGGGGAGCGAGAGAGGTGGATCTGGAGAGCAGATACCGAGGTGGGGAGGAAGGGGATCGAGTAAATACATACGTACGAGACACTCATCGCCCACTCTTCGATCGATCGAGCAACGGAAAACGAGGGGGGTACGTGCAGGGGTGGGGAATGGAGCTGTCAGCATGCAGTAGCCAGGGAGGTCAAAATCGGATCAGCTATCGAGGTACAGGTAGCAGCAGCAGCTGCGGCGGCAGTAGAATAAGGAGGAGGGTAGTATACCATGTAGCAAGGATAACAAAGAATAACGAAAGAAGGTTTCTTTGGAATAATCAAATCTTCCATCCTCTCTCCCCCCTCGCCTCTTCCTTCCTTCTGAAGAGTGAAGACAATATAGGCGGTCCTTCCGAGGGAAGCGGGAAACGCGGGATCAGGGCGGTGTGGGCCTCGTGACGGTCTCCACCCACCCCAAGCGACGCGCTGTCATTGGACAAGCAATCCCGGGCCCCGCTTTACAAGGCACATATTGGGCCTAACGCCCTTTCCTTCTCGGCCCTTCGGACTTCAACGGATGAACAAAAACACACACACACATAATGGGCCTCCGGCGCTTCTCCCTGGTGTCCCTGTCCCCGACCGCTGTCGTCCCTTTCGGCGTCCGCTAGCTCAGTTTTCGACTTTGGGGGCGACATCGCTTTCGCCACCGGCGCCGACGAGAAGTGGGGAAAGGGCCAATGAAACCATTGGATCTGAAGCTCAAGATCTGGAGAGCAGAGAGGCGACTGAGAGTGTTAAAGGGGATCTGACCGTTGATTTCGATAGCGGGAGGACGAAGGGCGATGACTCGAGAGTTTTCCTGATTGCAAGTAATTCCCGTCCAGTTAAAACAAATTGAAGTGTCGTTCCTCTAATTGAGGTTGTGGCTTTTGTGGATTTTGCTGAGGAAATCGAGCAGAGCCTGTTTGTCCTCCGCTAGGTCGACATTTGCGAGCATAAAAATCGTCGAAAATAGCAAGAAAATGAGTTTCAGCTTCATCTTCAGAGCACCACAAGAGCTCTCTCAGATGACTTCAATGTTTTTTATTTTTCTTTTACTTTTTTCGTTGATGGGACGATGAAATCATCTGAGATTATGGGCCCCATTGATTTTTTTTTAATTTTCTTGGGTTATCTTACATAGCTTGTAGTTGGATTTTACTTAGTTGCAATCGCCGAAAATAGCAAGAAAATGAGTTTCAGCTTCATCTTCAGAGCGATACAAGAGCTTTCTCAGACGACTTCAATGTTTTTTATTTTTCTTTTGCTTCTTCGTTGATGGGACGATGAAATCATCTGAGATTATGGGCCCCATTGATTTTGTTTTTTTTTAATTTTCTTGGGTTATCTTAAATAGCTTGTAGTTGGATTTTACTTAGTTGCAATCGCCGAAAATAGCAAGAAAATGAGTTTCAGCTTCATCTTCAGAGCGCTACAAGAGCTTTCTTAGACGACTTCAATGTTTTTTATTTTTCTTTTGCTTTTTCGTTGATGGGACGATGAAATCATCTGAGATTATGGGCCTCATTGATTTTGGTTTTTTTTATTTTCTTGGGTTATCTTAAATAGCTTGTAGTGGGATTTTACTTAGTTGCAATCGCCGAAAATAGCAAGAAAATGAGTTTCAGCTTCATCTTCAGAGCGCTACAAGAGCTTTCTTAGACGACTTCAATGTTTTTTATTTTTCTTTTGCTTTTTCGTTGATGGGACGATGAAATCATCTGAGATTATGGGCCTCATTGATTTTGGTTTTTTTTATTTTCTTGGGTTATCTTAAATAGCTTGTAGTGGGATTTTACTTAGTTGCAATCGCCGAAAATAGCAAGAAAATGAGTTTCAGCTTCATCTTCAGAGCGCTACAAGAGCTTTCTTAGACGACTTCAATGTTTTTTATTTTTCTTTTGCTTTTTCGTTGATGGGACGATGAAATCATCTGAGATTATGGGCCTCATTGATTTTGGTTTTTTTTATTTTCTTGGGTTATCTTAAATAGCTTGTAGTGGGATTTTACTTAATAGCAACCCCGTGTGTAATCTCCGAGATAAAAATTGTAGTGGGATCTCTGAGATATGGATTGTTATTGAGAAAAGAGGAGATATGAATTGTTATTGAGAAAAGAGAAGCTTTTAACGCCAAAAGCCAAGTGATTTACTGGTTGGTTGTTAAGATTACGAGTTGCTTGTTAAGTTTACGCGTTGATTGTTAGGGTTACATGTTGGTTGTTAAGGTTATACGCGTTGGTTGTTAAAGTTACGGGTTGCTTTTTAAGGTTACGGTTGGTTGTTAAGGTTATACGTGTTGCTTGTTAATGTTACAGGTTGGTTGTTAAGGTTACGTGTTCGTTGTTAAGGTTAAGCGTTAATTGTTAAGGTCATACGCGTTAATTGTTAAGGTTACGGGTTGATTGTTAAGGTTACGCGTTGATTGTTAAATTTACGGGTTGGTTGTTAATGTTAATTGTAATCTTAACAAGCAACACGTAACATTAACAGACAACGCGTAACCTTAACAAGCAACCCGTAACATTAACAAACAACGCGTATGACCTTAACAACCAAAGCTTAACCTTAGCAACCAACGCGTAACCTTAACAAGCAACCCGTAACCTTAACAATTAACGCGTATGACCTTAACAATTAACGCTTAATCTTAACAACTAACGCGTAACCTTAACAACTAACCCGTAACATTAACAAGCAACACATATAACCTTAACAACCAACCGTAACCTTAACAAGCAACCCTTAACTTTAACAACCAATACGTATAACCTTAACAATAAATCTGTAACCTTAACAATCAACGCGTAAGCTTAACAAGCAACCCGTAACCTTAACAACCAACATGTAAATCTCTTGGCTTTTAAAAATTTCATGAAAATTAAAGGTGAAAAAAATCAGCTCACTCTAACCACCTAAAACAAATGTATAGATCATCGTAGAAGTCCAAAAATTTATTATTGCTTTTTATTTTTATAAATTATTATAGTAAAAGTCCAAAAAATTAAAGTTTTTTTAATTTCCTTCCTTTTTTTCATTTTTATGAAGGTTTTACGGGTTGGTTGTAAATGTTACATGTTTGCTTGTTAAGATTACACGTTGGTTGTGAATTTTACGTGTTGATTTTTAAGGTTATCAACCAACGCGTATAACCTTAACAACCAACCGTAACCTTAACTAGCAACCCGTAACTTTAACAACCAACATGTATAACCTTAACAACCAACCTGTAATCTTAACAATCAACACGTAAGCTTAACAATCAACTCGTAACCTTAACAACTAACCCGTAAATCACTTGGCTTTTGGCGTTAAAAGCTTCCCTTTTCTCAATAACAATTCATATCTCCTCTTTTCTCAATAACAATCCATATCTCAGAGATCCCACTATAATTTTTATCTCGGAGATTACACACGGGGGTTGCAACTAAGTAAAATCCCACTACAAGCTATTTAAGATAACCCAAGAAAATAAAAAAAACCAAAATCAATGAGGCCCATAATCTCAGATGATTTCATCATCCCATCAACGAAAAAGCAAAAGAAAAATAAAAAACATTAAAGTTGTCTGAGAGAGCTCTTGTAGTGCTCTGAAGATGAAGCTGAAACTCATTTTCTTGCTATTTTCGGCGATTGCAACTAAGTAAAATCCCACTACAAGCTATTTAAGATAACCCAAGAAAAAAAAAACAAAATCAATGAGGCTCATCATCTCAGATGATTTCATCGTCCCATCAACGAAAAAGCAAAAGAAAAATAAAAAACATTGAAGTCATCTGAGAGAGCTCTTGTAGTGCTCTGAAGATGAAGCTGAAACTCATTTTCTTGCTATTTTCGGCGATTTTTATGCTCGCAAACGCCGACCGAGTGGAGGACAAACATGCTCTGCTCGATTTCCTCAGCAAAATCCACAAAAGCCACGACCTCAATTAGAGGAACGACACTTCAATTTGTTTTAACTGGACGGGAATTACTTGCAATCAGGAAAACTCTCGAGTCACGCCCTTCGTCCTCCCGCTATCGAAATCAACGGTCAGATCCCCTTTAACACTCTCAGTCGCTTCTCTGCTCTCTAGATCTTGAGCTTCAGATCCAATGGTTTCACTAGCCCTTTCCCAACTTCTCGCCGGCGCCGGTGGCGAAAGCGATGGTGCCCTTGAAGTCAAAACTGAGCTCGCGGACGCCGAAAGGGACGACGACGGTCGGGGATAGTGACACCAGGGAGAAGCGCTGGAGCAGGAGGAGGTGATCAATGCCCATAAGAAAGATAAAATGTATTATAGTCTTTAGCTATGTAAAATTCTTGGGCTTTGTATTTTGGGGGCTCAGTGCATAGTTGTTACGAATTCGGGGTTTCGAGAGCGTTGAAAAAGTCTTGAGGTGGAGGTTCTTAGGTTTTGGGAACTGGAAGCATTTTTCCAAAAAAAAAAAAAATACGAGCGCCTCGTTTTATGGGCTGCAGTTTGGGCCGGGTGCAGCTCCGCTTATTTGCGCCCGACTGGAGACAGAGAGGAGGGAACCGAATCGCTCTCGTTCTGTCCTCCCTCCGCTCACAGGGACTACTAGTACCCAGCACTCCGAACCTAAACCCAGGGGAGGGGAAGGGGAAGCGATCGAGTCATGGTTTCGTACCGCTACCGATCTAAGGTCGGCCATATCGGGATCATCAGCAAGAGGATGAAGATCGTAAGATTCTGGAAGCGTACGTACTCTACTCCTCTCAATTTCGTTTGCAAAGCATCAATTGATCTCCGAATAGTTTGTTATGAGAGCTTTCACCGCCTTCAACTTTCTTTGGATCTTTTGCCCTAGAACATCACGATGAGTTCTTCTGGATATTTCTTATTCTTAGGTCAATTTTTTGTTGTATTAATCCTTTCCTGTTTACCATTATTGATAATTCTTTCATTCTAGTTGTTTATTCAAACAAGTATTTTGTATTTTCCGCTGGCCTGATTGTGTCCGTATAATGATGAAAGTGAAACCAATATATTCATGTAGTTGTCTTTTTTTTTTGGTTGAGAAAAATGATTTAGTAGTTAATAAGAATGTTTCTGTTGCAGAATTGGGGTAATGGCTCAATCATACTGAACTCAACATGTATTTTCTAGGAGTAGTTTGATTGGTGAATTAGTTTAGGATTGTTATAGCCTTGTACGCCTGCTTATTCAAGCTGCCATGGTCATAATGTAGATGTGAGATACTTGAATTGGAATACGTCTGAAGAAATTTCTACCAATTCAGGTACAGGTTGTGGGTTGCTGAGCTTTGCGGGCTTAAGACAGATTGTCTACTTGTTTAGTCTCTATGTGCTAGGGTGGGAACATGATTAAATAATTATCACATAGTTTAGTGTTTGTTGGATTAAATACTTATTCAAATTTGATTTTCATTGTCATTTATGAGAAATGAAATATGTCTTAGTATCTGTCTATTGAATGATTTGAATGTGATTATCAGATGTTCAATCCTTTTGATGATCAAATACTCATTTACATTGTGCTTATCTAATTTAATTAATACTATTATAAAAGTGGGTTGTCATGTTAAAACATTTCTACCCAAAATACCCTCCAGTACATCCATTCGTACATACATGCTCAATTTTTTTTTATAACCTCCCCATTGCTTGCACATCCCTGCAACATACGTGAAGACATACATGCCCAATTTTTCATAACCTCCTAATTGATTGCCATCAATTTTTCAAATAACCACTCACTCATAACACTCCTCCACCAACTCATGCTACACTAACATAACTTTATATGCACTAATGATAAAAAAACGTTACAACTATTCCTCTCCTACCAAATCACTATAAATAACAAGAAAATTTTATCAAATTTCTCCAATCAACATTCCAATTCAGCAATGTGCCACTCTGAGAGAAGTTATTTCGGTAGGTCAAAAGAATTTCCAATTCAAAGCTATCCTTGAAAAGGAATCGGTCTTTAATGATTTTAGTCAAAATCCTGAGCCTTCAGAAGTCTAGGATTAAAAGATTATGTCACACCCGAAATGGTAAAAACAATCTCCAAGAGTTCACAGTCAATATAACTAGTGTCATCTCTGGGGATGAAGAGGAAGATGTCCACAATCCTTCTGATCCCGGATACTCCCCTGATATCAGGAGTATATTTCTAGAAACTAACCGGGTGTATCATCACACGAGATTAAGGTAAGGGGCGGCGATCCCTTTTGACTACTCCCCCCTCTAAGCACATGTACCACAACCTACGCCTTAGGGAAATGAGCCCATTACCAGTGACGTCAATTTTGTCATTGCATCAAATGTGACTTCTAGCTTGAGTCAAGAGCAATAAAGGGCTGTACATATGACAGAATAAGAAGATCTTCTCTAACAAATGGAAGCAAAAAAAAAAAGCTTCAGAAGAGCAATTCAAGCAATGGGAAAAGATGCTTGGTCAGCTCATGGTGGCTTCTCAACCTCATCCGTGTTCTTTGAAGGGGAAACGACCAATTATAGAAATTTTCCTAGAGAAAGAGCATCAAGAAGATGAAGATCTATTCATTTAGGGTTATAATTATTAGCATCTTCTAAGCCAAGTCAGGAGACAAAGGTCCTTGAGGACCTCCAAAAATAGCTCAATGCTCTCATATAGCAAACTGAGCTAAAGAAGGTTGGAATCACTCAATCTTGCCCCATCAAGTGGGACTCAGTTTTGTACCCGATGAAGTTCAAACATACGTTCGATGGCAAAGGTTCTCCAAACCAACATATATACTACTTCCATCAACAAATAGTGAATGTAGTAGGAAATGATGTCATCAAGGCACAATATTTTATCAGCACCTTTCAGGGGGTAGCCTTTGATTGGTTTCAAAATTGGCCCTAAGGATCGATTAATCCTAGGCTGATTTTGAATCTAAGTTTCTCACCCAGTTCCACAAGAAACAATCAGATATCACCATGGCCAGACTTCTCTTTGAAAAGCAAAGAGGAGATGATTCAGTCAGGGATTTCATTGAGCAATTTTGTAATTTAATGTTGCTATGTTAAGATATGCTGATGTTGATGTTACTTCAAACTTGTCAACACAACTTCTTGGGTCGTATAGAGCTCATATGAGTGCTGTCACAACTCACATTTAGAAAGACTTGATAGAGCAAGCCGAGATCGTAGAGAAATCGATAGAACACTTCAACAATTTTGATCCTTGCACCAACCGCAAAGGGGGTAAGGGCAAATGGGAACAATCCTCCTAGTTGAAAGCCAAAGACACATCGAGGTCAAAAAGCCTGACAACTAGAAAAAGGAGCCTAGGAAGAACGTTCAACGCACTTACTCCTAAGATGAGTATATGGTACCCATTTTCCATGTCCTCAACAAGGGCAACCGGTTAAAGTTTCTAGAAGTTAGACGTCCTGAGGAGATTGGAAAGACTGATGATCCTAATTACTATCTCTATCATAGAACGTTAGGACACCCGATAAAAAATTATTATAGTCACAAGGATAAAATATAAACTTGTGTCAACTCGAGAATCGTCAAGCTCCGACCTGAGCAAATAAAAGTCACTACTAGCATAGCGACTCTTCAGTTTGGGTCTACGCCGGAGATCCAAGCCTAAGATGGAGTTGTCCCCATTCCCACTACGAGGATAGAAGTGATTAATCATGACCAACAAAATCAACAAAGCCAAGACTTGGTCCCTCTCACTACAATGAGGAGAGGAATAATGTAGAATCATCCCGACCTCCTTCAAGACGGACATTGGACTCCAAAGTTGAAGGGTTAACACAAGATGAAATCCTCTAATGTCATCTCTAAAATTGTAGGAGAGAAATCTCTATAAGTTTATTGACTCAAAGATTCAGAGAAAATTGTCATGTCTGGGACGAAATCTGGTAAAGATTGTTTAAAGAATTATGATCAGTCGGGACACTCTTAAGCAAACTGTATTGACCAAGCAAAATGAGACTCGATTGAAGAAAACATTGTAAAGCCCATTGGCTGACAGCCTGACTCCAACGTCCAGTATGTTATCATGGCTCAGTTAGCTAACATCCCAACTCGTATAACCTTATCTAAACTTCTACGTTTGTCTAAGAATACAAGAGAGGCTTTGAAAGAGGCCTTAAATGATAACAAAGTGTTTCTCACCCATATGTCCGAACCTCTCTAAGATGAAGAATACAAGCAGCGCTATCAATGAGAACAGCAAAAGCCTTGCATCACCTTCACTTTGGCTGAAATGCTCATCAAAGACTATCATCTCAACGGACCCCTCTATTATACTGGGTATGTAGGGTCGGCGAAGGTGGAAAGCATTCACATCGACCTAGGTTCTACCTTCAGCATAATCCTGCAGAGGCTCCTTAGATTCTTAGGCATTTCCCTTTAGAAGCTTTCGAAAACTATTGCTGCCATCTTCAGATTCAACTCTAGCAGTAGCTGGTCACTCGGGAAAGTCTAACTCAAATGTTAAATTGGTGACTTGGAAGACTGAAGTGGCGTGTTATGTCATCAACGTTAAAACACCTTAGAGCATCTCCAACAGTTTCCCCAAAATTTTCTCCAAAATGGAGAAACAAAAGTCATATTCTCCAAATTATTTTTGCTCCAACTCCAACAGCTTCCCCATTTTGAAAAATCGCATTTATTACAATAATAAAGCTCTCCCCAAAAAATTTGGAGAATGCTGCAGATTTGGGGAAGGCTCCCTATTTTTTCTCCTCCTTCCCTATTTTGGGGAATGAGATGGGGAATCTGTTGGACCAAAAAAAGGCTCTATATTCACCAAATTTGAGTATTTCAAGAAGATGGGGAAGCTGTTGGAGATGCTCTTACATCATGCTCATTGGACGACCTTAGATCCATTCCAACATGATTGTGCCATTGACACTATATCAATGCTTCAAGTATGTCGATGAACATGAAACTCTACATAAAGTGATGCTAAACAACATCTCTTTAAGGGAGCGAAGAATTACTTTACTAACTCTCAGCCAAATCTAGCTCTCTTTGCTGCTTGCGACTTTGGCATTCTCGAGCTCACTTTCTCTACAATCTTTATAATTTTCATGTTCTTTTCTTGATCAACATTGCTACAGACTAAGATCTAAGGTGTTCAACTATTTTTTACCCTTTTTTGGAGATGATGTAAAAGTAAATGATTCATGTAATGAATAATAATTAAAGTTTCTATACATTTTCACATTCTATTTTGTTCTCAAAACTATAATTATGCGACATTTTGTTATCTATGAAGTTTTTAGTGATTCTTTACATGATTACGTGCATTGAATTTAAGGAGTAAAAAGAAACTCCTATCTTAATTATGTAGCTTATCAGTTTGAGGCTAAAATTATTCTATATTAGTAAATTAATTATAATTAATTAAATAGTTTAAGTAATAGCTAAGTCAATTTAATATATTATAACGACATGTTCATATCAGATTCATTGAAAATGTTGGTGGAATAAAACTGAATGATGAAAAGAAAAATAAAAAATAAAGAGTATATTGACAATTTTACAAGGTCGCAAATCTATTCATCTTTTTTTATCTTTGTTTTAATCTTTGATTAGAAGAATTTGATTTGTTGTTTAATTTTTAAAACTGAATGTTGATTTGATTGACGAAGAATGATTTGATCTCTTGCATTGGCGATCTATTTTAGCTTCTTAGTTCTTATATCATAACATTTTTATTGAAATTCATGAAACTAAAAGTA